ATATATATGTAATACAAAAATAATAAATACTTTTGTATTAATAAAAGAATTAAAACTCTTTCGGTTTCATAAAATGTCTTTGTTAAAGAGTAAGCGTAGAGCTATTCTATTTTGGGAATTCAAGGCTGAAAACATACCATTGAATAATAATTAGATTTATATTTGAAAGGAGGAGTTATTTTCAGAATCTTGTTCCTCTTTCACTTCCATATTAGGGAGCATTAAATGATTTTCCATAGTGCGTAGAGTTACAAAGGCATGTACGACTGGAACCTAATTACATCAAAATCTGTAAGTATTTAATGAGGGAGCGATTGTTTTCGCATGTCTCTTGCTGAATAACGTGTTCCAATAAACATCCGCATGAACCATCCGTAGTTTCGTCCACACCCCCTCCTTTGCAGGAGTGGGGATGTGAACTGTTATAACCACCAGCATATCTTTTAATAAACCTTTTGATAACTTATTATGACTTTGACTGCATTTCGTAATATGAATACACCAATGATAACAGAGATGTAGCCCTGTTATTATATATATATATATATATATTATAAATACAATATTAGAAAGTACTCTTTTTTCGTGTGAGCTGATGACGAGATTACATCTTTTTCTTGTTTTGTTTTCCGGATTTTAAATTTTTTTCTGTTAATTTTAAATTTTTGAATATTTAAAAAAAATCTTTTTAATATCTTTTTATCTAATTTTTTTATTGCTTAAAACTCACCGACCAACATGAACATGAAAACATTGGGGAATTACGTCACCAAATTTGTATTTCTAAAGTTATTTGAAACTATGCAGTTATTTTGTTTATAGTTACGCCTTTGAAACATGGATCCATAAAACAAAATTATTTAAAATCAATAGCAGTTGAAATAAAAAGTAATAAGTTATGTATTGAGAAGCAAAATTAATGGAGAAAGAATATTAATACGTAGACAATCGGAGAAACGTAAAAAATAGGTATACTCCTTTTGATGCTTGATAAAAAATTTTCATTAAGTAATAACATAACTAAAAAAAATTGCTATGATCTAGAAAGCAAAATTAATGGAGAAAAGATACTTATTATTTAAGGGAACAGCAAAAAAACCTCCTTACTATTATTGACGTCAATACCAGGCTTAAGTAAGTTTGGTAACATAAACAAATTGAAATAAAAAATAAACTAAATGAACTGTATGCTAAAAATAAAACTTAATGGTAAAATGGTTCTAATTTTTTAAGAGAAACGTTAAAATTGGAACTATTATCGACGCCAATGGTGCGTAAATGATTTTGGTACTAAGTACTAATTGAAATTAAAAAAATACGCCATGGGATGAAGCATCCAAAGATGTCTAAAAATCACTTTTCGTATGCCAACTGTTGCAACTATGAATTTTTGAAAACATTATAATTTAATAGTAGTCCTTAACTTAAAAGGTCTAAGTTCACCAAAAGAATAATTGCAGGAGGATTAAATAGTGCTCCAATAATTCCCAGTATAAAGATTATTTTAGTAAAGAAATATGAGCTTTTCAAATAGGAATAAGGAAATGAAGTTTATTTAGTTGGAGATGGAATTTGCAAATTATCACAAATTGATAGTAAAAATCATTTACTATATTAAAACTGCATTTTATATTCGTTTTTTTAATACACGGAGAAGAATAATATTTATTACCATCATTAAAAGATATGCAGTTATTTGTGCAAATAAATGTTAAAAGTTTGCAAAAAAACTTATTGAAGTTATACTTCTTATGCGATTTCCAACAAGGTTGCGTTAAACGCTTAACGCTAAATTTTTATTGGCCGGGAAATCACGTGGTAGGATCCAGTTTTCCCTCATTCATTTCCATATTGTTTTGGTTCTCACTAGCATAAATATAATAAAAGTATTGTTTTTCTATAAATATTTTTTTAGTTTGTTTTGATACACATATAATTTAATAGGGTAGTATTTTTTATTTTCAAATTTAGTGGATAACAATTGTAAAAAATGAGTGAAAACAATCCCACGGACAATGCGACGGATTTAAGGTTATGTCAAGGTACGTCTCTTGTGAATATCAATTGATTGTTTTTCTTCTGAAATTACATTATGACGCATTCATATACATTATTAATACAAATACATTTTCCATGGCGAGACGATGAGGCAACCACAAGCACTTCCACTGGTTCAAGAGGTCCACGAGGGAAAAATGCACAATATTACCCTGATTACAGAGCACGGAAGGGAGCGGAGCAGGAAAAAGAGTCGTTGAATAGAACTAGTGATCCTTCTACGACTGCTGATTCTTCTACAATTAACGTCGCAGGTTACGAACTTTAACTTCTTCCGCGCGGAGGGACTCCACGCACTATTTTTTTACATATATTTTCTTTCTGAAGAAATTATACGAAACTAAATTTGAAATCTTTCATACAATGAGATTTAATATTTTACAAACGTTCTTTAAACAAGTACCCAAAATTTTTAAAAATAAAAACTTTTTTTTCCACAGCAAACGTCGACTTAAAGTATTAAAAGGAAATATTATAATTTTATGTCAAACAAATTTATTACGCATTTTTATAATTACGGTGCGTATTTTTATACAAAAATACACAATATTAAAACCATCACGATTTATGTGTGAATTCATTTCAAAAGACAAATTGCAAAATTCATTTCGTTGCCTATTATAATTTTACAAATTAGCAAATGAGCATAATACAAAGCAACAAATTTGTGCATTTATTTAATAAATAGAAGATTTATAGGCATGCAAATTAAGTGTTCTTTACCAAGCCATCTGATACACTAGGAATAATGTGCTAACAAATGCTTACATTTTCATCATTAAT